ACACACATGCACAGGCATACAGATACACAGAAACATTTCAAATATCTCACGTAGCTTTCTTTATTTCGCACGTATTCTTTATGACTTACGTAATTTCTGTTGTTTTGTTGCTCAATTTTCTCACGACACCAACATAATTCTTTATAAACCAGAGCATTTTTTTCTTTTTATTGCTCATTATGGAATGCAACTGTATGAATTTCTTTCGCTCAAAGCTATCGAAACGTAAGGTTAGAAGTTTTGTTATAATAATAATGATTATTTTTTCATCTTTTAAATACTTTTCTGAATATCTTTGAGAGGTTTTTTTTTTCTGGATAATCTTTGGATAACATTTCAATTCCTTTCTGAACATCATAAACACTCGAATAATATCCAATTGATATTATTCGAGTATTTTTGAAATTAGCGTGAATGAGTTGTTTTCTTGTATTTATCTTAGTTGAAATATTTAGCTACGGGGTGGATAATTTGTAATTACTATTATGAATAGTAGGTTCTAAAAACTTGAAATATCTTTATTTATGTACATGTAGTTAATTGTGGTTTTACTACTATTCATGAAGCAATTTTCTTATAAAGAATGTTTCTTGAATTTTTCGCACGGAAACTTGGCAAAATCACAAATATAGCAACGTAAACGACGTTAATCATTGATTACACTTTTTTTCTAGGAATTTACTTTTGCTGGAAAATAAATGAAATTTTACTCTTTCTCAGATCATCCAACCATCATCTATCTTAAGATTACAATTCCGGATCCGGCTAATGCATCTACCGAAAAATGTTTGCCAGATGTATTGTGTTTTATCCATCCATCCATTGTTGTTAGGTACGATGAATTGGCAGAGCGAAATCAGACGGCAAAAAAATTAAATTTCTCAGGAATTTCACTCTTTTTATTGAATAAGTCGTTTTTTATGATGTCATTATTATCGTCAGTGTTTTATATTAATAAGTTTATGTTTGCTTTGTATGTGTGTGTCTGCATGTGTGTGTCTGCATGTGTGTGTCTG